TTGTTGTTGTTGTTGTTGTTGTTGTTGTTGTTGTTGTTGTTGTTGTTGTTGTTGTTGTTGTTGTTGTTGTTGTTGTTGTTGTTGTTGTTGTTGTTGTTGTTGTTGTTGTTGTTGTTGTTGTTGTTGTTATTGCTGTTGTTGCTATTGCTGTTGTTGTCTTTGATAATTATTGTATAGGTCATTTTTTCTTGCATTTCATTTCAATATTCAAAAATAAATTTTCCATCCATTTATTTTTAAGATGATTTTCTTCATACTTTTTTCCCATTCATTTTTCTTCTTATAAATACATCTCATCAATTTTAAGCTTTTCAAACTTAAGTTTCACTATCAATTTCACTATCATTTATCTCTATCTGCTTTAACTTTTCTACACACTTTTCGTTCATTGCACTACAAAGAATAGCGCATAAATAAATTCAATTCAAATTTAATCAATAAAACAAAAACCCGATCCGATCATTTTATCGATATGTTTTTCTAAACTATTCAAAACTTAACTATAAATTATCAGAAAATGAAATATATTTTTTCGGTGAATTATTTTTCTACAAGGTATAAATAAAAAGATTGTAAATAATTAGGAAAAAAGAAATTTGAAACTATTCACTATTTACTATTAATTCATTTAATATTGTCTTGCATAATATGTATGATTAAAATAGCAAAAAATTCGTTTTCAATTTATTATAATTATGAAATTTTGGAATAGTTATAGGATGAAGGATGAATGACAGATGAATAATTTTCAGAGCTAATTAATGATTAATTAATAAATCAAGTGTGAAATAATGCTTCAAGATGAGGTAGATTTGAAGTAATGATACTTCAGAATATCCTAAAATTAATCTTTTCCTTAATAATGAAATAGCTAATTGAAAAATTCTATTATTTATTTATTTGCAATATTTGAAGGTGAGAGAAATTTTGCTTGCGCAATTGGTATAATTCAAATTGCTTCCAGCACTTTGCATGATATTATAATTCACTGGTTATGATTGTCCGTGAATAATTTAAAGATTTATTCCAAATGTTTGTAAATGGAGCAATTTTGCAAATATTTAAATTGGTTACCGAATAAGCGCGTTGAAGTGTGTGCTCTACTCTTTATAAATCCCTTCTAAAATCATCCCTCTCTCTCTCTCTCTCTTTCTCTCTCTCTTTCCTTCCATTTCACCTCTTAAAACCGTAATAAATTTCCGTTTTCAAAGTATGTCATATTTATAAAATAGCTCTATATGAAGTGAAATAAGGTAACAATAGCCGTATTATCAAGAATGAAATGAAGTTTTCAATTTCATATTAATAAATTATAGTAGCAAATAATAATAATAATAATAGTAATAATAATAGTAGTAATAATAATAATAATAATAGTAATAATAATAATAATAATAATAATAGTACTGCATGCAAAATTTCGGCAATTTGCAAAATAGAATGAAATGAACTGAAGCGGTATTTTCAGAAGATATATCATTGCAGGATAATAAGAAAGCAAATGTAGTGAATTGAATGAAATTATACAACAATTACGAAACTTGTCACTATCGATCATAGAATTGATATTTGTGATATGAGGCGTATTTAAAATCAAATAATTAAATTACAAATCGAAAATGATTGTCCTCTTTGTAACTCTGAACATAAATAATTAATTTGCTAAAAATATTGGAACCATTGTTTTTAGCTTTTATTTCAATATCATTTAAAAAAGTATATGATTAATTTACAAGTTCTTTATCTTATTAAAAACTTTTTTCCTCATTTAGCATTCTACCTTTTTTTACCTGTAAAAAACCTCTCTCTCTCTCTTTCTTTCCTTCTATTTTACCTCTTCGTCTTTCTAACGATAATTTTACCTTTTTCCTAACGATAATTGAAGTTTTAAAAATTTATCGGTAAAAATATCATTCCTATAATTTGAAACTAAATTTAAAAGGGAAAAATTGTTAGCTAATTTTTAATTAGAAAGAATTTTTGAAACTTTAATTATCGTTACTGTAAAAAAAGTTATTTTAAGGCTTTTTGAAACAATAGAATTTTCTTCCTTTTTATACAGTATAATAATAATAAATACTAAGTAAACATTTTTCCTTTCCGGTTGTAATAAATACTTTCTCTTTCCGGTCACAATAAATGCTTTTCCTTTCCGGTCGTCTACTTGTAATTTAGATAAATGTTTAATTTTTTTAATATTATATATTGCTAATTAATTATGATTGAATAAATTTTACTATATAATTTTATGTATACTTTACTTAAATAGATCGAAATAAATACTTTTCCTTTCCGGTCGTAATAAATATTTTTCCATTCCGGTCGTATATTTATGATTTAAATAAATGTCTAATTTTTTCGATATTACATATTGTTTATTAATTATAATGGAATAAATTTTACTATATAATTTTACGTATACTTTACTTAAATATTTATTTTCCATATTACAATATTGTTAATTAATTATGATTGAATAAATTTCACTATATAACGAAAAAGGTAAACAGGAAACATTTTAAGAGCCTTTACCTTTTCTACATTGAAGAAATGCAATTCATTCAATCTTATTTAATTAATAGTAATAATATTTCTCTGAAAGATCATTTTATTCACTTAAGGAATTTATAATCTTTTCAATTTGATCAAATTTAAATCAAAATTTAAGTAATAAATCTTTTCGGAAAGAATTAAAATATTTTTCTTAGTTACTTATTATTTCTTATCATATCATGAGCTAACTTTATTGTTAACTTATCATATATATCTGTCAAATATAACTTAATAAATCTTTTCTGAAAGAATCAAAATATCTTTCTTAGTTTCGTATTATTTATTTCTTATCATATCATGAGCTAACTTTATTGTTAACTTATCATATATATCTGTCAAATATAACTTAATAAATCTTTTCTGAAAGAATCAAAATATCTTTCTTATTTCTTATCATATTATGAGCTAACTTTATTGCTAACTTATCACATATATCTGTCAAATATAACTTTCATCTTATCAAATTCAAAAATAAATTTTTACATTTCGATTTTCTTTTTTTAAAGGAACATTAATACATTTAACAAATTTTCCATCATCAATTATATTTTCCAATCAAACTTATTTAAAACCTTTGGGATACATATCTATTTGTTGTTTGCATATAAAATTGTACATCCAAAATATTTTCTAATAAAATTTCAATTTTCATCTCCCAAAACATTAGCAAAGGTTGGAGGGAAGGTCATAGAGGTCATAGATTGCAATATGTTTTGAAGTACATTTGAAAACAAAAAGAATTAATTAAAATGAAATGAAAAAAAGAAACAATATTTCTTACACTATATTTCTTATCCTTCATTTCAGCTTAAATTTGATAATATAAATTTCAAACTTAAAAAATTTATGATAAATTAGCAATTAAAAAAAAGAACAAAAGAAGCTATTGATGATTATTAATTCTTTTTGTTTTCAAATGTACTTCTAAACATATTTAAGAATTTTGTTTACAGCTATTAAAAAAGAAAAAGTGAAAGATGATCCGAATAATCTTAATGATACTTTCTTTTTCAGATGAAGTTATACCGAATTATGGAACTGAAGGAGGAGCATCCGGTGAAGTAATATGTCCGAGAGGTGGAGCAAGAGGACGAAGAACCGGGAATTTAACATCATTACCGAGAGCTGCCTTATTGCGATCATCATCATCTCTCTCATCATCACCCTTTATTGAGCCATCCGTATCTGGTGGATTTAATTCAACGATCATCGTTCAAGGCACAACCATCGATACTACTAACCACTATCATCATCATCACCATCACCACACCTAAATTACATCATATCAACAACTGTTGCAACTCTTGCTATTATATGAATTTTTACAAACTTCCTTTTTTTTCCTTGATGTATTATATTAAAGTTTAATTAATTATTAAACAAACAATGCTTTCAACTTTATAATAAATGAAATAAAAACTTTTTGAAAATTTTATGAAAATTTCTTTTTTGAAAGAATTTCATATATTAGATGAATCATTGATAATTTCTAATAAGTTATCAAAAATTCGAAACTATCTCCTTCCCTTTCTTACATAACAATTCTTCAACGATCTGCTACATTTTCTTTTCTCGATCTTCCTATAAGGATTTGATGAATAAATTTTCAAATTTTATCAATTTTTATTTATCGTTTAACATTTTATTGTTAACAAATAATCAGTGATAAAATAGGATGATAAAAAATCAAAAATTTTCTCAATTTTAAGATTGTAAAAATAGCAATGATTGTAGGCGAATGTTTTACCTGCTTCTATAATAAGCACCTTATTACCTCTTTAGTGATTATTATTTATTATTTATTACTATTATCATTATTATTATCTATTATTATTTATTATTATCACTGTCAATTATTATTATTATTAATCAATATATTAATTGCCATTAAATAATTGCCATTCATTATCAAATATCATTATTATTATAAATTATTCGTGATAATTATTATCATTTATCATTTATTTATTATTGTTATTATTATTATTATTATTACTATTATTATAAATTATTATTATTAATTATTATTGATTATGATTATTAATTATTATTCGTAAAATCACTATCATTAATTGCTGCTATTAATTATTATTCTCAATTACTATCAATTATTATCATTATTATTACCATTATCAATTATTATCACTGTTATTATCATTATCACTATTATTATAATAATGATTATCATTATTATTACGCTACTGTTATCACTCATGCTGCTATTATTTCTCTATTATCCCATGCTATTAACATCGCTACCTATCAGTATACTGTGGTGACATCAAATATTGTTTACATATTGTATATGTTATGACACATTTATATTATCATTGATTTTTTTTAAAAATAATATTTAAATTTTAAAAGTAATCGATGCAACGATTATTTCTTACGATTATAATGAAATGAAAAAGAAAAATGATTTAATAGAAAATGAAAGTATTGGAATTTAGAAAATATTATCATGATTAATTCAAATTATTCATCACTAATTATCTTAATTTGGATTAACCCCGGGGAATAAATGATAGCATTGATTATGCCTTCAACTTTTTTTCAACTCAAATTTATTCATCACTAATTATCTTAATTTGGATTAACCCCGGGGAATAAATGATAGCATTGATTATGTCTTCAACTTTTTTT